ACCAATGATGGTAAGATGATGTCATGGGGTAGGACTGGATAAGTCTGACTTCTTCCTACTCCATTCAAGCATGTACTAGGTATAAGTAAATTGATTGGATTATGTGTACAATCATGTGTGTTGTCATATCAACTGTCTTTACATGCTTGAAAGAATAAATCAATCAATCAATCAATAGTCACTATAACATTGCTAAAACAACAAATCTAATGGTGGCCTAAGACTTTTGCACAGTACTGTGTGAAGTAAACAACACCAGTAAAAGGAAGCAAATATGAGGAAGGTGTTGTCTCCTTTAGTGAAGCCAGACAAAAGTCAAGCAGCAGAGTTCTGCTTTGACTGTACAAAGATGGGACAAGGACAGGTGACTGATGACTGTGAGCTGATTCACAATAGTCCAGGAGGGAGGAGAGGAATGAATAGATGACTTTGTCCTCATCTAAAACTGAGAGATGCTTACAGTTTGAAATGAGTGGCTTTTACTTTTCAGGTAGCTTGTTCATTAAACATGTTAGCTTCATTAAAGTTCGTCAAAGAAAAATAACAAAAAGCCTTCACACTCAAAAACACCTCACAGGTATCTTTGTATGGGGTAGTGTATCTTTCACAGTGCGAAGGCTTTTTGTTATTTTTCTTTGATGAACTTTTGTGGAGCACACCTGACGTGTACCCTAAGCGCAGTCTCTTTTGGTTATAGTCTTCATTCAGGTTCACACTAAGGTTTTTAATGAATGAATAAGAAAAGGACTCGCATGGGATTTTAATGCCATTTATTAATATTCTCAGAAAGTTGGTGGAGCAGTGTTTGATTACTGCTGTGCACCCCTGTTGCATTTAATCACCATTTTATTTGATCATTTAATCACTCCCCACCATCTCAAATAAAAAGAAAGTATAGAAATAATTGTAATAATAAACAGTGAAAAGCAGTGAAAAGGTGGACTGGGCCGGGACAGAATATACTGCAGGGAGCTGTAACAATTAAAACAGTGAGCAGGAAATGGCATCAGAGTTGAGAGAGGTAGAGTAGAGGACACCTGGGGCAGCTTCACTCACTGACCTTTTCACCCATGTGGATCACAATTACATAAGTTCTCATAATCACATACAAATGTAGACACACACAGTGCTGATGAGGACAGAATAGACTACAGGAGAAACACCAGTGCCATCGCATGTTCACAGACAAATGTGCTTTGTCACATAGTCATGCCCTGTCATAGTATTCAGAACTCTGTGTGCTCATGCTGTGTGTGTACATACTGTACCAGTTTACAGTTACGCTTTGTAAAGCTTTGTGCAGAGTAGTGTGTGAGCATTTGGGGATGCAGAGGGGGGAGAGGGGAGGTTGAAGCAGACAGTTTGTGCTTCTGTGAGCGGCTCTGGCGTCATCAACATAACGAGCAGGCTGAAATCTGTGGAGGGTGAAAAAGCAATTTACTCTCCCACAGCTGAGGGGGATTCGCCTCCACTATTAATTATCTGCGTGTGTAGGTGTGTATGTTTGTCTGAGAACATACATGTAGGTAAGCATGCATGTATGCATATTGAGCCGCGTGTGTGTGCAGCACTTCTCCCACAGAGCAGATTTATACGTTGGCATATATTTAAAAGTGTTCTCCATAGTGTTGATGCCTGAAGGTGACTGGCAACATCCATTTCGTCCTTCACAGCCTCACTCATTGCTAAAGAATCACACTGTGTTGCCACACATCCATTCCTTCAAGGTCAGATGTTGCTTTATACGTGTACAGCCATCATCATCACTGCCCCTCACTCTCACTCTGACACACGCAGGCAGATGTTTACACACATTGCACAAAAGCGGCACTCACAGATGTTTTAGCTATAAGAATGGGAAAAAGACAGGAGAGAGAGAACGGGTAGACTGGAGAGAGGAGGGGCCTGCTGGTCCTCTTGGATATGAGTGACATTATTATGGGATAGGTGTCCGTCATGCACAAGCAGCACACTTACACACCATCCCCTGGGTGCTGGTTTTGGTAGCTGAGGCCCCGGCTTATCGCTTGCAGAGCAAATGAATAACACTTTATCACTGGGAGAGAAAGAGAAGAAAGAAACAGGACGCTTGTGGACGATGACACTAACTTCTTTGCTTGTTATTTTCACTCTTGAGTGCACAAAGTCAAAACACACATAGCAACACATCAGTTCACACATACTGTACATATATAGGCTGGTGCAAAGAGTGGAATATACCCACACTGGTACACGTATTCTGTACAAGCACTTACTGAGTTCATAGTATATACAAAATGTAATGCAACCTATTTTATCAAACATTTCCTTTGCAAAACTCTTCTGTTAGATCAGGTGACCAAATTCATAACTGTACAGTTGGAGAAGGGAGCCGCTATTCCAGTCATACACACATTTAAATAAGATTGATACTTGAGGACATCTGATGGCATCTGGTGTCTGGGTGTGTCCATGTTCATTTCGGCTATTTGACACAGGGACAAATGGTTCAAGCGCCAGTGCAAGTAGCGAAAGAGCTGTACTTGAGCTCTTCATTAAAGCAGGTGTGTGTATCATGCAATTATCCAATCAGTGTGTAACCGCACACCCCTTTAAGAGACGTGTGAGTTTAAACATTTGGCGGATCGCTGGCATACTGACGGACTTGGCAGGTCAGACGTCAGTAAGATTTTGAACACGGTGTCATCTTTTTATTTATTTATTTATTTTTCTTTTTTTAAGTTTTACATGTCCTGCGCAGTGCTTCCTAGGGTATAACCAGCACAGTGCACAAGCACTGTGCATGTACCTAGGTGCGAGTATCATAACACGGTCATAGCCCCCATTATATAGCAATGGTGTTTTGACTGTTGACCACAGACTTGGTTTTTGTGGGTCAGTGGTCATTTTGTGCCCTCATATTACCAACGCAGTCCTCCATCAGCAGTGCGGGTTTTATTCAAGGACCAGAAGAGTTTTGTCTATATAATAAGAAATTGAGGCAATACAGGAAATGCAGAAAAAACATATTCGGTGATATCCTAAAATACTTTCTACAAGTTCAAACTCAGTACTTGTTTCTATTGTAAAAGCACGAGGGGAAAAAAATCCCTGAGTCAAATCAATAAACACCACAGGCTTTCATCATGTCAACAAAATGAATAGCTGCAGACTATTTGTCTCAGTAAGGATGCATGTTGGTTTGAATGTTCAGATTAATCAAGAGGTAGACACAGCACCGTTTTTACAATAATATATCAGTCGTAATGAAAAAGTTGGCATTATTTTGTATTTTCTTATTGTATATAAATCCTCTGGAAGGCCAAAGCCAACAGTGTGTTTCTTTTTTCCCTACTCTGTCTCTGGCTGTCAGCCAGAGTAAAGGAAAGAAAAACAAAAGAGAAAGAAACAAGAATGTTTAGAGCAATTCACAGATAATTTAAACCACGGGACGCTGTAGTTTTTAGCAAACCTTATTCAGACAGAAGTAAGTAGTTGATTCACTGGGTGTTATTTTCAGCGGCAGATTAATCCACATTTGGCTCTTGAGTATTTACAGCGGCAGGACAGTGTACGTGGGCTGACTGAAAATAAACAGCAGTAGTCGTGGTAATGGTGATGAAGGAACATAACCCATGCAGTGGTGTGACTCAGTAATGTCTTTTTAATTGTTTTTCAACAGCACTGGAGTTTTATGGGACAGAAGTATAAGCTTGTTGTTGGTTTGATCTTTTCATGGGATTTGATGACGGTATGTGTATAGAATATTACCAGCTGCATCTGTTAGAGGAATAAAAACAACAATGTCCAAAGCACTGAAATACTGTACCTTCAGTGAGCTACTATGGCAACAGTGTTTGTCAAACTGCGTGGATCCTGTTTCACAGAGTCACTTGAGGATCAGTCAAATTGCATAAATAGTCCTAAATCTTACACAGTGTTCTTTGCTTTGAAAGACGTTGGCCGTCTACACTCTTCTTCCTTATATTACACCAATCGATTTAGGCCGTTTTCTCAATCTGACATTTTTTTCCACAAGTAAAATCATTTGTAAGAGGCATTACCCAACAGGGTCTCTCTCCCCTCCTTAGCATTTTCTCCTCATTTGACTCTAAAAACTGTCATCTGTGAGAAAATCTGCTCTCATTCCTAATTAACCTCTGTTCTCTCCTCTTTCTCCCCCTGCCATCCCAGAGGTCCAAAATCGCTGTTTATGAGAAGATGTGGTCATATATGAAGTCTGCTGAGCCCACTGTCTTCACTAAAACCACAGCAGAGGGTGTGGCCAGGGTTCGCAAGTCCAAGGGGAAGTACGCCTTCCTCCTGGAGTCCACCATGAATGAATACACGGAGCAGCGCAAGCCTTGTGATACCATGAAAGTCGGCGGGAACCTGGACTCCAAAGGATATGGCATTGCTACACCAAAAGGCTCACAGTTAAGGTGGGTGGAATAGTGTAACAATAGAAAACAGTAACAGAGCTGATACTGTACTATTGCTGCGATATTCCACCTACCCTGCTGTGCCTTTTTATACGACACCTAAATCAACGTCACTGCTGTCAGGTGATAGTGTCTGACCCACGAAAATGTAGAAGTTTAGTCACAATTGGCAATGATTTTTTATTTATTCTACAGATTAAAGATCTAAAAATCTGGCACCAGTATAAGTTATTTATATGATTCAAACAGTTTTCACTGAGCAGCAGTGATATACAGTGTATTGAGTATATAGATTTCATATTTCATCACACTTTTCTTCCTGTCATGATTTTTCCTCCTTCTGCCTTTCTGTCTTTTTTCACGTTTTTGTCTCTGCAGTATTTTTCCTCACTCTCTTTTCTCCTCTCTCTGTTAATCGAGGGCCTGTTAGCGCCATTTCTATCCTGTGTTGTTGTCAGTTGTCCATCCCTTTATGGTCATATCCCTACTCTCTCCTCCGTTGCTCTTTCAATCACTCTTTTTCTCCGCAGGGACACCTTACAGGTAACTCTATCCATTTGTCTGTTGTCTCGTCTTTGTCCTCCTTTCATCCTCAGAGATGGTAGTCATGATGGTGATAATGATGATGATGATGATGATTACGATTATTATTATAGGAGAGATTTATTATTAAGTGAATAAGATCACGAGGAGGGGCAGAGCCACAGACTGCTGCCACTACATCCAGAGCCACAACGGGGAATTTATAGACGATCAGGAAACAAAGAGTGAGAAACAGAAAGTAGAGGGGCCTGGCCAATGGGGGGACAGCGTTCCACACCAAAGACACTGAGTCACAAATAAAAATGAAAATGTTACTTAAATCTTTAAGCCAGTTTAATGGAAAATGAAAACCCAAATCCAGGAGTAAATATTTTTTTTTAGAGAATGCATGACAGTAAATCTCAGTAAAAAGAGAATAAGATGGAGGTAACAAATGAGAACGTGTCCTAAAGTTGGTCTTTTGCTTTAGGTTTCCCCTCAGCAGATACTTGTTTATCCGACTTAAGTTGAGGCTACAGTAACAATCCCATTGAGGTGTGCTACCAATGCAAAGAATTCTTTTTTTGGCTGTGACGGAAGTGTAGAGGTTTTGTCTTCAAACTGTGACAAGTGTCTGATGAGGGAAAATAATTGACTAAATTCACTGTTGCCTCTCCCTCCATCTCTCTCTCTGTCAGCATCTCAGACTCGCCTTATGAAAAACAAAACACAGACAGTGCATCAGCCTCACATCCTGTCGCTATAACTTTCCCCTGTGCATAGTGCAAACAAGTCCCTCAAAACACAACTCACTGTAGTTTACTCCTTGTTATTTACAACATAAAGGGGTTTTTAATTTTATGGGGGAAAAGCGGCAGACAGCAGGTGGATGGGTCCCTTTTTTAAGCCCCATTCCTGGGACTGTCCGCAGTTGTCTCTGGCTTCTCTCAGTCAGCGGAAACCCATTCTTCAAAGTGCACACATGTGGCTAGGAGTGTGCACATCAGGTGAGCCTGTCTCTCCTCTCAGTGTACTACCCACACTGCTCATTTGACTTGATGATGTTGATGAGAATAAATACTCAGATGATTCAAGAATGTATGCTTTCTGAAGTATAGCTACTTTTGATATGTTTATTGACATGTGCCTGTTATTATCATGACTCATAATGTGTTTGAACTGTTTTCATCCATACCTCTTATGCTGATGAGATTAGATCACCCCAGAGAACGCTGTCTCTCTCTAAATCTCTTGATTATCTTTACTCAGAGAGCTAACCCTATAGAGGGTTTTAATTTTTACACTGGCAAAATAAGAAAGATTTTATTTTTATTTTACTTTATGTTCTGAATTGAAAAGAATTTGTTCAGTGGGTTTTACTTTTGCTATATTATGTGGTTCTGAACTGATAAGCTCTCAGTCTTACCTGCAGTCAAACTCACACTCCAAGATGAGATAGGACTTCCAGATATGCAGGAGTACAGACAAAGTGGCTAACAAACAAGGAGTCAGTGACTGTGGTGACCTTTCTGTAGAGATTAGCCTAGATTTCAGAATCTCACAAACAAAAGAGTAGTCAGTGGAGGGTAGTAAAGGATGACAGGGGAGAATTTTACAGGTAGCTATAAAAAGCACAGATGTACCAAAAAAAGAGCGGCCAGGCAAAATCCATAAAGGGCACACAGGGAATTAAACTGAAATTCAACTCCTGCAGCTGTGTTTTGCAGACATGCTTCCAGACATTACAAGAAGGAAACAGGTCACATATAGAGGTGGTCACTTGACATTTGCAGGAATAATGAAATGCACAAATTTGGGGCAAATTAAAAGTGTTGAGTACATTGATTTCTAATATTCTTCAGTTCTGCTTGTTGTAGTTCCACTTTTGCTTCTTTAGAGCTGTTTTCAGATATGATCTCCGTGCGGTGTCCGCAGAATCAGGTCTAGACTTTGTCCAGAGATGCTCTTTCACACATGTAGCACATGACAGGAGATAGTCCATGGGACTGGATAGAGCTTGCAGGTACCAGGACATGACCGAGTCTCTTGCTGTTCCTTAAATTTGTCTGGCGATTCTGACACCAGCTCTTAACAATAGAAGTTCACAAATCTTGTCCGGTCTCCAGTCAGATATTTTCATTGTAAATGACTGTTTTTCTTCACTATCACATGTTCATTTTCTTCCGGTTTTGCTCTGCTCACATGATAGAACATCATCAACACACAGACTAGCTCACTGTGAATAGTCCCAATTATATACTGTTGTTTTCTCACATGGGTTCACACAGATTTTAGGTGGACTTTGTACTAAGTAGCTGGCAGGGTACAGCTCGCTTAATGTCTGGGTCAACTGACTCCAACATTTGCTGTCATTGTCTGTCTTATAACATGATGATAATATAATATTGCATATACATTATGATACTGCCAACTAGTTTCTAAAGTGTAACACAGCTATTAAGATTGAATGCATATGATCTTCCAGGCAGCCACTGGTTACAGGTCAGGTCAACACAATACCAAAATCAACTTGGAGAGATTTGAACATTTCTCAAGACTTGTAATCCTATTAGTCAGCATTGTTTTGTTAAGTTTAGGTTAGTGTTTCATGGTGATGCACTTGAAGTCACAGATTCTTTGAAGTCTTTTGGGTGATGTACAGAATTGTCAGTGAGATGCATAGACATCTGAGATCTGAGAGCTGGCTGCTTATGGCGCAGCGTTCCCAAGGTGTGCTGGTCGTGGTATGCTGTTGATAAATCAAGCTAAATGATAGTTGGGCACAATTCAGCATCATGAAAAGGATGATTCCAATCGGTTTAACAGATGGCAGATGACAAGTCCTGAATGTTAAAGCTTTCTACAGTTCAACAACATTTAAAACCTTTTTTTTTTTCAAATTCATTTCCACAGCATTGCTTTGCAATGATAATTTGATTTACCCCTGTCAAGGGCGACTCAATTATCAGCACGCTGATTTTGATAACAGACTAAAATAATGAGTTGAGCTTCTCACTTTGTAAACATGCCAGAACTAAAGTGTGTGAATGCCTGATATTTATCCCTGTGTTCCTGAATTTTGTTTGGAGGTCAAGCTCTTCATGGGTGTGAGCAGGAGACCTGTGGGAAACTGGAGCCATGCAAAACACACACACACACACACACACACACTTGTGCACACTAGTAAGAAGGAAGGCAGAGGAGCAGCAGAAGAGGAAAATAGCACCATCAGTAGGCTGCAGAGACGTGGTTAACACTCTGTGGAGTAGCATTATGGAGCATCTTCTCTGTTAGTTACAGGAGAACGACAGAGTAGAAATACATAGAACAAATAACAGAAAAAAACTGGGCATGTTTTTATAAAAACACAAAATGTGAAATGAAAATAAAAACATTTTTAAAAAGCCTATGAAGTAGAAAGAACGTCAAATAGAAAAGAGTAAGAGACAGCGTTGTCTGGGGCGCATCCTTCCCCACTAACCCACCTTTGTCCCTTCAGCCCTTCTGATCTCTCCTCCCTCTGTTCCCTCTCCTCCTTGTATCCCTCCCCTTGTTCCTCCTGGCTGTGGTCCACGTCCATCTTGTCTGTCTGTCCATCCATCCTCTGCTCTGACCAAACTATCTTATCTGTCCCTCCTTTTTTACTTAAAGAAATGCGGTCAACCTGGCCGTACTAAAACTCAACGAGCAGGGCCTGTTGGACAAATTGAAAAACAAGTGGTGGTATGACAAAGGAGAATGTGGCAGCGGGGGAGGGGATTCCAAGGTTAGCCCTCTCTGTCTGCCCACCCCACCACTAGGGGACAGGGGCTGCTCACTGGCTGGGCAGCCAGCGACGGCCCCTGTCCTGGGAACATAACACATGCATCTGCCCCAGCAACGAATGAAGCAGAAAAGCAGGGAGAGCAAAAGTGACACCCTATAATCTCCTGAGACAGCCTGCAGCTTCAGAAATAGGCACAGTGTTTCATGCTGTCAGTGGCATGTGTCTTTTTTATAGAACAGTTTCAGACCCAGTGACTAAGATACAACACTTGTTTAGATCCAGAAAAAAGGATGGATTTGTTTTCTGATACAGAAAAATCCTCAAAGAATAATGGCATTCAATTTAAATGATGAAAAGATTAACACCTTCTACAGTTTTATGTTGAATCACTGGGGAAAATGTTCTTTTTCAGTATCATGCAGGGAAACGAGTCCTCTTTGTAGTTAAGTGCCTGTCAAGATAAATCAATCACACCTCATAAAAATAACAGTTTTCAAATGCGCTTAGCACTAGCGCCCTTCTGAAAGGACAGAGTGTGAAGTAATGGAAGGCTCATTGATGGATATGTGGAAAAGAAAAGAGAGCAATTACTGTCAAGACAAAAATACTGTATTTGCCCCTAGTGGCAAATATGGGGAGATGAGAGAGAAGAAGGGGAGCCTTGAGTGAGAGTCAAATAGCGAGAATGTCAGAGAGACAAACTGAACCTTATCACTCATTCGAATGAAAATCTGGTGCTCACATTCTTGACAGATGAGACAGGTTTTAAAACGCTGAATGGAAAAATGACAGTCTAGTGAAATATTAGCTCAGATTCCTTTAGTCTCAGGTTGACCTGAGGCAGAGGGGAGGATGAATAATTGATAGAGACAGAATACAACTACAGCATAAAATTTCCCAAATCTCCTGTTTGTTTGTAGAATTTCAATATTTATAAGGGTATTTTCTTCAGTTCTACTACATTTCTGTTCCTTTTAGGTGCTGAAATTATTCTTATTTTCTGATATCTTCTTTATACAAAAGTTGTAGCTTTTTAGAATCAAAAACACCCACTTTGCTTGGTGATGTCTAATCCCTAAATGTACTGCTTGCAAAATGGAGCCAAGACTGGAGTCAACAGCCAAGTTAGCTGCTCTTTGAGGTTGTATAGGCCCATTTGTGCTTTAAGTAAAATCAGCATGCTAACATGCTCACAGTGACACTGTTAAATCAAGGGTTCACCAAAGTCTGTACAACATGTCATGGCAATCCTCCCAAAAGTTATTAAGATCTTTCAATGTGGCCTGACTGGCTGGCGTGAAAATACTTATTGGGGAAGCAAAGCTATACACTGAGACTGTAGCTCACTCTCCCATTCTCTCTCAATGCCAAAGGTCCTGGCTTAACAGTACTTGCCTCATGTTCAATGTAGGATCAGCTGGGGCAGCATGGGTGTGTTACCTGAAGTGACAAAGGTGGGTCCCACTCATATGTCTGTAGCTCACCTTAGCTCCTCACTCCCCCCAGCCCCTCCTCAATGAGCATACACACATGTACTCAGTGGGATCCATGCTAGGTCACTTGATCTTAACAGAAAGCTTCTATATGACTGAGCTGTGCAATGCAAATGTGAAATACCCTAATAACATAAAATAACATGACCTATGATGTTATTTATGTTATTTTTACACGCAAAGAACCCCGGTAAACCTTGCAGTATTGAAACTGAGCGAAGCAGGCGTCTTAGACAAACTGAAAAACAAATGGTGGTATGACAAGGGAGAGTGTGGACCCAAGGACTCTGGAAGTAAGGTCAGTCTCACTCTGCTGCGGCCCACAGAACGCTAGCCTGAAACTCTCACCCTGAATACGCTCCAGATTATTGTAACCACTGTTTTAGCATTAGCAGTATTCTTAGTTAGCCTGAAATATATCTTTGAATGTGCTCCACAGTAGATTCAACTGTTCATTTAGTGATTTCAGACAGTATTTTTTTCCTATTTCTGGTTTGATGGTTGACTACAGCTATCTATAGCTGCACCACATTAAACTCAGAATGTTGTCCAGTTTTTGTAGCAATCTTTGGCAGCCCCATCTTCATTACTGTCGGCATTAGAATTTTACAATCAGTTTTGAGTATCGCCAGTCTGTTTTCACTTTCATGTTTTTGTTTCGATCTCATATGCTAGCCTATTTTTGATAACCTGAAGCCCATCCACCAGATAAAAGTACCACTGTGTCTTCAGCTTTAGCAGTAGTAACTTACTAACACCTTTTGACTTTTGCCTTTATGTTTGAGATTGAATCAAGGCTACGGCCATCTAGTTATTTCCATAACACTTAGCAGCGCTTTATTTTACAGGTGCTTTTTAAAAATATTATTCTAGGTCATTTTCTGAAAGGTCCCTGTTATTTGGTGCTAATTATAAGTCAAATACTCTTTTGAGATTCAACAACTGCAAATAAGCTCAACACAAGTGACTCAGTTATAATAAAATGACTTGCTGAACTCTTGACTTTACCCTAACATACTCTAACATATTTAGAACCAAATTACACTGTTCTTTTTTGGGAAGGTTCCTACAAAACTAACAGACAGTTATGGACCTGTGAGATAAAGTGTTTTTATATTTTTCATTAGCATTTGCTAATTACATTTAAGTGCTACATATATGTAATTTATACCCTATACTGTTACTCCCCAGTTAAAACATTCACTTTATTTTCTGGGTAGAAAAGAATTGAATCCCATATTTTTACAACACACATCCGGAGTTTCTCAGAATGTTTAAAATATTGTACTGGAGCATTTAGTTTTCATTAAAATTACAGAGAAATGTCATCACCACTCACATTAAAGCCTGCTCTGTGATTTTAAAAAGTGATTTACACTCTTTTTGACTTACTTGTTAAATTAGATGTTGATTTGAGATGTTTTAATATGACTATGTGGCAGAAGAAATTGAGAGTACTGTGCTGTAGTTGTACTGATTGTTACCTATGTGGAGTAGCTGTAGTTGTGACAGTAGTATTATCTATAACTGTGCAAGTAGATTACCATAAAGTTATAATTCATAAAAATCACATAATGTCAGTAGAATAGAATGCTATCAGTAATAGAATAACTCAAGAATTTGTCTCTGAATAGTTGTTTCTCTGGCAAGCTTTCCCTGTGTCTAATCACTTGCACCCTTTTGTCCCTGTCTGTTTTTTCCCACCTTTTTACCCACACTTCCCGTTTTCCCCAAAATTCTGACCTCCCCCTTCCTCTTAAGTTTTTTCTTTACAATGCCTTTCCATTCCTGACCACACTTGTTGTTGTTGTTTTTTTATTTACACACCCACCCAAACTTAACCCATTGTCATCCCCCTCTTCCACTCTATCCGGCACCTTTCCACTACATTTTCTCATTTTTCAACCCTTCTTCCCCTCTTTGTCCACGCACCATTGTTTTCCCCTTTCTCAACACTGACTGGCTACCTCGGCCAACACTTGACCCCAACTCCTCCCTCCCTTCCTCCCCCAATACCTATCTCACTCCCTCTCTCCAGGACAAGTCGTCCCAGGCACTGAGCCTGTCCAATGTGGCCGGGGTCTTCTACATCCTTGTGGGGCCCTAGCCCCCCCCCACCGCCCCAGCCCCTCCCCCGGCACCAAGAATCTAGCCACTTATAGGGAGGGGTACAACGTGTACGGCTCCGAGGGGGTCAAGATATAGGGGTAGGATTTAGAGGCTCCCATATAGGTGGGGTAATGGTGGTATTGATCATGGTGATGGTGCTGTAGATTATTGTACTGGCGATGTAGAGGCTGTCGCAGCCCCACGCAACTGTGTTGTTCTTCATGTGGTGATGAGGATGTAGTCAAGCATTGTGGAACCAATGTAGCTTTTTATGTCTTGTGAATGCTTATTTACTGGCCTAATGTTTTCTTTGGGTTTGGGCTTTTGGGTTTAAATTTCGAGTTGAGTTATAGTTATTTTTATTCTTTAACAGCTCACCCCGAGCTAGTTTGGGTTTAGATTTGTGTGACAACAGATTTGGTTCCATCGTCTTTGGCTGCAGATGATGATGATGACAGTGATGGTGATGTTCTTGGCTACTCACTTGACTAGGCATCTGCATTGTTATTTTAGCTAATAGTTAAAATATTGCTGAAGCAGGGATGCAAAACTCCATTATCAGGGGCTGGTATGTATTAAGTACATTGTTTTATACTGTGTAGGGCTGAATCTAAAAATGTGTTTTGTTATCCGTGAACAATAACAATTGTTTGGAAGCCAATCACCTTTTCCTAAAAACCAAAGTGAAGACTGTTTCATCCAACCAGCGTCACAAACCCCCTAAATATTTGCTTTATGATTACAAAACACCACCTGGCTGATGGGATGGAGTAGCGGAACTACTATAGATCATATTTAGTTCCCAAATTTTGCTGTTACTTTCATCAATGTAAAATGTGTCAATGTATAGTGTTTACATTAAATTTGTGCTAACTAGCTAGCTAAAGTTACGTTACAAGGCAGCAAAAGAGTGCACTTTTAGAAGTTTTATTTTTATTAATATAAAAATACTGCGACCTAATCATCAACTGCCAATTCTTTTTCTCCTTCCTATCACAAGGAAAAATGAGAACTGACCCATTATTTTGGTTCAGATCTATTGAAACAATGGGGAAAACAACACTGTGACATATGGAGAGGAGGAGAACAAGCCAAAGTTTGGACCCAGAAACAAAATATTATGTTACCACTTAACACGCAGCTACTCCTTTCATTGTGTCATAATTAATACAGTCACTGGATGACGCCAAACTATAGCATGTAACCGTTCGTCGTAATAACCTGCTGGCACAAATGACATATACTGTCATATTTTGCAGGAGGACCGTCTCACAGTAAATCAGGCAAAAATTAGGGTAAAAAATCTGCTTCTGCACATAATAAATTGCACAGAATCATTTATACCTGGTGAATTGATCTCACCCAGCCTTAGTACCCAGCACTATGTTCTGTCCATATACTGCACTTTTAATATGTCAACCAAAAACTGGAGTTGTGCACCCCTGCTATAGATGGTCCAAACAGCCACTTTGAATTATTCCAACCCTGACAACTTCAAAACACCCCAGTTACTCAGCGTTAACGCAGAGGAGTAATTGATGACGCAAACACTTCATGCAGAATGGCTACTTAGTGATGTTGTTGTAAAAAGCATGACTGGTGTTTAATGTAGTAATTAAAGTGAAGTGCTTAGAACCACTAGACTTCATTTTATTGATCTGCTTATCAAACCAGTGAATTCTTTCAGAGGTCATATTTGGTGATCACCTGGAGATAATTAGATCAGTACATGGGATGTAAAAATAAAGACAGTTTAATACAGCACACTTAATATCGACTGTTTTCTGCTCAATGCCGAGTATAAGTTTGACACAAACCATAAACAGAGTAGCTGGACTACACTCAAAAGCAGTAACACTGATCTAAACAACCTTCCCTCTATGGCTGTAGAATGCTGTGAAACTCTGATATGCCATATTTGTCTAACTTTAATCATCCAGAAGATTTTCTATGTAGTTGCAGTAATGTCAGCCAAAACATCTGAAAATTACATGTTCTTTGAAAACTCTGTTAGATGTTCTTTTGGAGAAGTCTATTACATGTTTTCGCTCTAGTTTTTAATTGAGTTGTAAATCAGCATGACAGCACTGATTATGATAACTTTTGTTTCTGGCAGTGTATCACCAAACACAGCTGCCTTTTTGTTAATGTATTCATATAGGTAAAAAAAATAGCTCATACAGTATAAACGCCTACAGTATTTTCAGATATTGTCTTGCAATTCGTGCATCTAACAGTTGCTTTCACATGACGCGATACTGTATAATTCTCACTAGATTATAAGCAGAACATCAAATTGCTACGTTTCATAAATCAGTGACAAAACTGAACCATGCTTTTCCCTTGGCATCATTTACATTAATTCTTTGCTCTAAAATGCCAATAATTTCTGCACAGGAGTCCCAGTCATAGCGCACAACTGTCAAAGGGTAACCCATCTGTGTGAAGTGTCACCCTATTCTGAGCAGTATAGTCAGTCACACCCTCTCTATACATCTGAAATAAAATTGCTCTTTCATGCTTTCCCTTTGCGTTTCTAAAGTCCTCAGTTTCCAAATCCAGTCCCTTCAAACCCTCACCTGAATCTGTCAGATTACTGAAACCCAGAAATGCATGGTCACTTATGAAATGCAGTTGTCTAACCTGAATCCTGTCCTAAAGTTATATGTGTTTGTTGACTGTTGCCTGCTTTCACTTTTACTTTTGCCTTTATTAGAACGATGCTAGCATTTGCACAGTGTGATAGCAATTGAGTGAGATTTGAATGCGTAGTTCAGGGTGCATTCACACCATGCCCATTTAAAGGAATCAAAGTCTGGAGCATGTTTGCCATTTAAACCTGGATCTACAAAACACAAATATTGAGATGATATGAAAATGTTCATTTCTGTCCTTGTCTAAACAACTTCAGTGAATTTAGTGTAGAAAGACAAAACTTAAAGTAACCCTGTGGAGATTTTGATCGTTAGTAGCTTTATGATGCAATATACTGTATTTAATAAATGGATCCTAGTGTTGTTTTTATCATACACGAGGATTAGCAGACAGCACAGTTCAAATCCTAGTTTCCTGCTACTTCACTAATCAACAATTAGTGACAATAACATGCCAAGAAACATAGTTATACACCAACAAAGGCAGGAAAGGAGACGGCTTTGTTGGAAGTAAACATGGATGTAAACAAAGCGTTATGTAAAATATTACTAATTACTCAGCAAATGTTTTATTAGGAAGGAAATCCAATAATTATACCTCACAGTGGGTTTTTGAGAACTGCTGAATTAGAAGGGTACATATAATTTTGGTTGTTTACATAAAATCTTCCCAGGGCACCTTTGAAACTGTTTAACGGTCCATGTGATCTTTAATCACAATCAGTCAACTAATTCATAGTTTTTTGACAAAATGATAGAAAACATTAACAATAACAATGCCGATCACAGTTTCAAAAGTCCAAGGTAATGTATTCAATTTTATTTAACCAAAGGCCAAAACACACAAAATTTGTTTTACAATTATTTAGCAGCAAGTCCTCAGATCTGAGAAGCTTGAACCAGCAAATTTCTGGCATTTTTTTTTGCTTGAAAAGTCACTTCAGTGATCAATTGATTCTCAAAATCATTTGACTAATTGTTTCAGCACTCATTTGCTTACACTGTGAGCAGTATGACAACAACATAGACTGGAACACACAAATTAAACCTTCACAGTAATGTAACTGTATGTGATTGCACCCTCAGACCTTTCTAATTGTTAGCATACAGTGTCGACTTTGTGTGTGCAGGCGCATGCATAAGTGTTTTTAGTGCATGTGTTTGTACAGAAAATTTTGTGCATTTGTGCAAGTGGTTGTATTAGTTGTGAAGTCTGTAAGATGATTTATTTCAAACAAACTCTCCACTCTGCCATCTCAGACCTCTTCTTCACCACACCCTCCCTCTCTTCTCTTTTAGCTGTCGTTTTCTGAAGCCATGCAGAACAAGGCCCGTCTGTCCATCACAGGAAGTGTTGGGGAGAATGGTCGCGTCCTGACGCCAGACTGCCCCAAAGCCGTGCATGCTGGCCACGCCTCCCTCCGACACCCCGGCCTTGCAGTGGTCTCCTCTGGACTGCCCTGAAAACCAAAAACACCTGCTGTGCCTTAATGACACACAAACATACAGACTTTGACAAGGACACACACGCACGCCCACATGTGCTTCCATACAGTCATACCATATCAAGCTCACAAACATGCTTAGAGTCACAGAAACTCAAATACAAATGCTGAGATACAAAGACACTGAACACACATTTTTACACACTTAAACACACAACCACGCACTCTGCATCATCATCTCACTTTCCTGCTGCCATTGACTTATTTTACAAGAGACAATTGTAATACAACTGTGGAGTTAACAAAAAAAAAAAGGCAACGGCAACAACAACAGACAACTATCATATGGGGCAGGACAGCTGTCAATATGTGTGCGTATTAGTTTATGGTTGTGCATAAATGAATAATAAGTTGTACACAAAATTGTTTTGTAAACTCTTGTATAAGTCAAATTATATATAAAAAATATGTAGTGAGTATTTTGTCTGTGAGAATACACTTTAAAAAGTTACAACTTCAGGAGATAACAAATACGAAGTCAAAGCTTAAGTTTTATCTTTCCTCAATATGAATTTACAACAGTGACCTGACTGTCAGAAATATGTCACGAGGTCACAGGCATAATGCATTGAGCAGAAGATGCATCAATTCCACAAACTGTGCATGCGTTCAACATTTGACTTCATTCTTGACTCTTGAAGCCTGATGGACATGCTTTAACAAATATGAAATGATACTTTAGGTTAGATTTAATAGATATGGGCGAGTTATATTAAAATTTGGTTTGTTTTATTGATTATCAGTGATTATTATGACCTAGTTTGGGCTCTGCAGTGGAAATGCCGAGCTATGCAGTCAGCTAGCTAGCTGATGCCCCACTAACACTTAGTCCACCTGCTGCCCGGTCTCAAAGTATTACATTACAGCAGCATTCACTGTACCAGGGTTCGAAAACATGCTAAATCCCCAGACGTTGACGGATAGTTTGAGAGCCGGCTGCAAGATGTGCATCTGCTCCATGCTGATACAGTGAGCCCACAGTAAAGGTAAGTTAGCCAGTTAGCTCTTAGCAGGCTGCTGCCTATTCAGCTTTAGGGACTGAATCTCGTCACAATTTTTGTCAACAATTTAGTTTTTCCCACAGTATGTGTCAGTCATTTTTGTCATTACAGTAGTGGAAAAACAGCTGCCACAAGGCCTGTGTTCATCTAAAACTGTGGATTTACTGCATGTTGTCAATAAAGCTACCAGGCACCTAACGGGTTTCAATTAGCAACAGGCTGCAGCAAACTGAGATACTTTGTTTTAATGTTGTATTAAGGCCATATGTACATGATTATATGCAGAATTACTTTATGCACTTGTTTGTTTTTATGATATATTTTGCCATTTGACATACTTGTTTGTCTGTCTCAGGTCTGTTGGACATGAAGCCTTTCAAATGTCAGCACTGAAGATACACAAACATACTTACTACATATTTTACATATGATTTGAGTTGTACAAGAGTTTACAAAAACACATTTTTGTGTACAGCTAATTATTTTATGCACAACCATAGACTAACACGCATGCATATTATTGACAGCTGTCTTACCTCATACTATTACACTTGCCTGCAGCATTCATTTTTGTTATTTTTGGGAGGAGACCATCCCTATATCAACAAAGCAACAGGAAAGCCAGCACAGACTTACATGAAATGAAACTGTGAGCTGTGAACATGACCACAAAACTGATCATGATGATGATGGTGATAAAGATGATGACCACAGTTAATGTTTAAAAAAAACAACAACTAAACAACTGTGTTCCTGATGTCTTCACTGGACAATGTTAGCCAAAAAGCCACACCCCTGGACAACGCCTTATTCAGAGAACAGACATTGTTTTCATCATCATCATCATCATCATGATCATCTTAACTTGCCTGCAAAGACTGAGTGCCAGGTATTATCACCATTAGAAGACCAGAAAACTGTAAGCTTGAACGTTCAGACTGTGCAAACTTGCTACTTTGCCATGGACTGTTCGAAATGAATGAAAATGCTTTCTTACTACGCATATACGTAGAATGATTTCTCGCCCCAAATCAGCGAGCTAATCAGCCAATTTAGGACAGAAGCAACCTCAAGAAACATCAGTATGGCTGATCTCAGCCATATAATTCACAGCAGTTTGTAATAGAAAAAAATAAACAGTAGTGATTAATACATTTCTCCATCAACAGCATTGCCATGATAGTAGAAATGCTAAATAGCAAGGTGATGATTCCTTTTGCCAAATGGAAGAATTGAGGTTTAAGATGAATATTCAATGATGAAAAGAAGAAATAAAACACATGGGCAGATCTCAAATGGCTACCTAACAGAGTGCTTCTCAACCTGACGTTCAGACAAGTTTGAATTATTGTTTAACATGTTTGGGGTTAAACCTTTTGATTATGGAAACAAATTCAATCTCTATATCCTTTTTAAAAACTAATCAGTAAGTATCCAGACAGATTTTTTTCATCTTATTTTATTTTTGTTTGCATGTTTGCCAACAGTGGGATATCTAGTAGTCAATCTTTTTTTTCCTAAGGGCCATAAAAAGGTTGAGAATCACTTTGCTGTGCTGTGTGGACTTCATTTGACTTGAATTAAAGAGCTACAGGTCAAATTTAAAATTTCTCTCAAATTCTATAGACTGACTCTAATGGTCAGTTTTGTTGTCATTTGAGATCCTCAGTCTTTTCCAGTGGCCAATCAAAATGTACCATATCAGAAAGCTTGCTTTTTAAAACTGTTGTAAATAACTGTGTAGCAAAACAGAACTCACCTGTCTTTTTTAATCATCTTAGGTAATTCATTGCAATAATTAGAGCTATAGAAAACAATGATCACTGATTGTCAGAGGCCATGACATACATTCTGTTACATTATATGGCTGTTTGTTTTTGTTTTGTTCTTTATATGCCACCGTCTTTGTGTGTACTACTCGACACCGAATGTTCATCTGGCACACACACAGACACGCGTAGAAATGTACGCGCATTCATTGTTGCATACACGGTTTCAGCTCAGAGTGAACCTGACAGCACCGCGAGAGGTTTGAGTGATTCTGTGTTTGCCTGGTTCTTCATTAATTAATCGCTGGTGTTTGTATTGTTACCCCCAAAGGCTTCTGTCGGTGGGCTGCAGCATATAGGTGCCAGTATTCGACAGAGTCCGACACAGTGAAAACATTTTTAGGCAGATCTTGGGAGAGGATGAGCCACTATGATTACAATGCTGTCTGACATTTCGAGAGTATAGCATTTGTGTTGCATTTCAAATGAACTCAGTGCTTTTTGCTATTTGTCATCATACCTGATGTGATTCTTAGTTCAAACTGGGGGGGTTACACATTTTGGAAACATGATAGGCTCTATTATGATAGACACAGCCAGTCAGTCCTTCAGAAATGTTTCATTCTGTTCCATGCTGTATGGGAGCATAAACTTTTTGCCAGCCTTAGGAATATTAAAATATACATTTGCTTCAGAAAGTTTTCAGGAACCTTCACTTTTGCCAACTTGTGTTGTAGGTGTAATTTTAAATGGGTAGAATTTCCATTTTGACCATTAAGCTATAATAGCACATGATGACAAAGTGAAAAAATATGTTTTCAAAATGTTGTTGCAAACTTATTAAAAGTCGAAAACTAAAATTCGTTATTCAAAAAAGTATTCAGATCTTTAACTCAAATACTCTGTAGAAGCCCCTTTTGGCAGCAGTTACAGCTTCCGGTCTGTTTGGATAAGTCTTTACAAGTTTTGCACACCTGGATTTGGGCAGTTTTCCCCCATTCTTCCTGGCTCATCCTCTCAAACTCTGTCAGGCTGGATGGGAAACATCTGTGAACTACCATCATCAGGTCTGACCACAGATGTTCCATGAGGCTAAAGTCTGGGCTTTGGCTGGCCAGGTGGAGGACAATCATTTTCACTTTTTGATGTTATTGATGGACAAAAAAGGTCAATCTACACAGTAACATGTACAGAAAGCAGTTCTTAAGCAACTGTTTATTGCATTATATAGTGAGAAATTAAGAGAGCAGTTTCACTTTTGATGTATTGTAATTTTAGCATGGTGGTATGCAGAGATTGCATCAATACAGCCTGATACTGTATGTGGGAATGAAATGTTGTCTGTCCTGCTCACCTCTCCTGTTCTTCTTTATCCTCCTTTTTTTATTCTCCTGTTTGTCCTGTGTCCTACCTCCCATCTTGCAAATCTTACTAGTTTCTTTTCTCTTCTCGTCTTCCTCTCCTTCTCTTTTCATCCCCAAAAACACACACATTACAAGACAGAGGCCTCTGTGGAAAGTACAGCTCAGCGATGACAAATGACTGCATTTTCTGCCCTGATACACCACAAAATAATTGGATAGAGATGAATCAAGTAGTCAAGACACCATATTAGAGTTAAAGTTTCTTCTGGCTCGCTGTTCAGAACATTGCTTATATTTTTTGTGTTGTAACCTTTAACATTTTATAGAAAATATTCTCTTGAAAAGACACTTCTTTGTTAACTTCATGCACATACCTGCATCAAACAAATTCAAGTCAAACTCAAGACAGAACAGAGAAAATAACAAGCATCTCAAACAGCGGATAAAAACAACCCTCTTTATTGTTAAAAATGAATAAAAGGCACAGTTTACAATCTTCTCAGACTAGGGGATCAGTACAGCATGTGGGAAACAGTGGAAATTGTTGTTTTCTACAATGGATACATGCATTCCAGCCATCAGCAGACCAGACACACATTTAAAGTACATGATACTGTTGTGTTTATTTCTCTGCCCCCCTCCAGCACATGAGATTTCATGCAGACAGCAAAAAGCTCACTGGTGGCAGCACTCTGGCTTTAACACTCTTCCTTCTTTCTTGCTTTATTTCTTTCCTTCCATTTGGTTTCTTTTTCTAGTAAAACATCAATGCTAAACCTACTGTCTTTGTGTGGTTATTTATCCACATAAAAGTGAGTTACACTGATCTACAAACTACAAATTGATTAAAAACAGGAGTTAAGGTGTTACACAGCTCTTGTACAAACAAATTTTATTGTATGTTGCTCTTCCTTTTTAGAAGATACCCTCCAGTCATCCAGTGTTTATACCACATTTCCTCCATATGTGCCTGACTTTCAGTAAATCAAATTACTGTTGGTAATTATCAACAGTTGATGAAAAAGAATTTCATTTAAGAAATCAAGACTGGCTTTATTCTGGGAACATCTGGTCACCTCTTAGCATCAATGGGTTTTTATCAGCTAATACAGACTATTGTTAATTTTGTTTAAGAATCAAAAAAGTTGAATATGGGAAATATTCACAAAACCACAACTTGAATTCCATGATATATACCTTATTTAAGATGATAAACAAGACTGCATAATGTTTACTTTTGGTAGTTTAGCATGTTGGTATGCTAACATTTGATGATTAAGTCCACCTGGGGATGATGGGAGTGTGTGGGACATTAGTTTTACAGATATTCTGTAATAATAGTAAGGTCTCCAAGTATCCTCAGATGTCTTTGGTTGTGATTTGGCGCTATACAAATAAAACTGAATTGAAATGAACTGATTTGAATCAAAGTATAAATTCATCCAAAGGTGGACATTAACTTAATTAAAATGTAGTCCGGTACCTGCAGGGTTAAAAATTCCCTGCTGCAATTTTCTCACTTGGGCTCCTTTTCCAAACCATGGGGACTTAACACTCCTAATGCAGAGCCATCAGTGACAAGCATTTTCCATTATTTTCTACCTCATTCACATTGTCACACATACACTCACATACCATGCTTGGTTATTACCGACAAGTATTTTCCATTTACCTGAAGGAAAAGCTAAATAACAATGTCAAAGTTATTCTGCCACCTTTTAACCTTGAATCTTCACATGCAAATGCACACGGCACACATCTTCAGTCTGCCTCTTTTATCCTCACTGCAGAGTAAAAGGTGCTCTTTCACCTTTAATTTTTATTGGTTCATTTCATCTCCTCTTTCTCAGCCTCTCCCTTTCCTCCTCTCAGGTCTGCATTATGCCCTGTCCTGTTCAGCTCCTCCCCATCTCTCCTCTGTTCTCACTTTATTCCTCTGGTTCTCTTTGGCTTCTTTCCTCCTGTCATACTTCACTTCTCCATTTTGGTATCACTCTCTCAGGAGAATCCATCTCCAACCCTGAGTTCTCATCCACCGCTCCTCATGATTATCTCCCCTGCTCTCACTTTCTCTTTGAGGTGTCTCTTGTGATTGGATAGGAAATTAAATTCCACCAATACTCTCAGCACACACAGGCAGCTCATCCCTATGCCGTTTTGTTGTTGCTGTTGATCAAGCTATGGTCCATTTATTCCAGGGCTGCTAAGAAGTGTGGTTACCACCGAGGCTGTACCACATACTCTACAGTATATACATTCAGATCATTCAGATACGACATGAGATGGCAACAAACGAATGCACAAAGTTGTTATTCTACTGGGTGGAAATAATACAAGTATAATTTTCTGAGTGAATAAAGAATAAATCAGTTATTCATTTTCATAACTATCTGAACAGTGGGACTAAAAGATTTTCATTTTAGATTAAAGCGTGAATCCAGTGGAAATGATTGCAGGTTCATTAAAAACCAAAGGATTTGTTTCGAGACAATTATTCATTCACAGTGAAAAATAAATATTTTCTACTTTACAAGTCATCCTGTGATAAATATGTTTGACAAATGTGTAGTACATTGAAAGTCAGAGTGACCACTCAGGAGTAGGTCAAATTACATAGAACTGACCTCCTCTTATAGAGAATGACTTCAGCAATGATGCACATCAAATTATTATTTTTTTTAATAAAAGAATACCTTTATTGTCATTGCACAGCTGCACAATGACATTTAGATCAAAGTAGCAAAGCAATATATCACCCAGAGTCCTTTTTAAAACTGTGGACAGACTCTTAAAGCTAATACCCACTGGCAACAGTATCGGTTTCTCTTTCTTTGATGAGTTTGCTGAATATTTTAAAGACAAGATAACATTTAGGTAGTGCTTAATCAGAAAGCCTTAGTGTCTTGTGCCCATCCATCTGTTTGAATATGGCCCCATTTGCCATAGCTCTCACTGAGCTGCTCTTTAATCCAACTAGCATTTTCCATTATAATGCCATTCTTTGAATAGTCGCCTGAATTTCTTTAGTTCAATCTCAAATTCTAGAATGTTTACCATATGGGATATACTTCATACTAAAAGGCCACAACACAAGGTCCGATACCCAATGGGTATCCCACAAAATGATGTGTAATGGATAAAAAAAATGTGTTTATATTGATTAAGGGGTACAGGCATGGGTAAAAATTGATTAACTGTGGGTGGGCAGCAGGTGAAATAAAGATAATTAAAATACATAAGCAAAGGCTCAGCTTCTTTTATACCTGTAAGTTTGTCAAGCCTACATAACTGATACATTTTGTCTGGCTAACAGGATGTCACTCAGCCATCAATATAGACTAGGAGTCAGTGGATCAAAATGGATAATTTAAAAGCAAAAAAGTTCGTGGTGATGTTATGATTTAATCCTGGCTTCCTGTTATAAGCTCTGGTTTTGTAGGAGACTTCCACGATTGCTCTGCTGCACCAGTTCCAGCGTTCCCTCAGCCAATCAGCAGCTGATTGAATGCACCTGTGTTTCATTTCTCTCTGCCTACTTAACCTGTCCTACTTCCCAGTTGCCAGTAAGTACACTCCAGGCCTGTAGGTGGCGGTAATGCACCTTAAGGTGGCATGCAAACTGCCAATAAACATTAGAAGAAGAAGTTGCTGGAAAGTTATGGGTGCAGTACTCTCCAACCTTCTCCTGGCTCTGGTGTGTGAGCCTGTTACTCCAGCAAAGTTTTTCAGCCTGTCCAACTTTGTTTTGCCTACAACCTACCTGTGCTGTAAGTTTTGGTGATCTCCTGGTTTTTGGCCCAAGTTTGTTAAATGAGTTATTGTTTGTGCATGTGCTACTCCCCAGTTTTAGTTTGTGTACCTTTTTATTAGTGCACTCAGTTTGTTTTTTGTGTGACCACTGAAGAGTTTTGTTTTTGTTGTTGTTGTTACTGGAATTTGGTGCCTCTCCTGTTTATGTTACCTGAAAATACACTCGCCTTGCATCCTCTGCTATTCTGCAAAAGAAAAGGTGACTATAGGCTACTTACCTGGCATCCTCTGTCACCTGCAAAGTGAACCTGAAACTATACTTGCCTCTTATTCTTGTTTCACCTGTGAAGAAAACCTGATTGATTCATACTTGCCTGTGCCACTTCTCTCTGCAGCCATCTGGGTAGCCTTCAGTGTCCTCTGGAGTTTCCTAAATCCCATCATCTCCTGTGTGCGCCGCCATCTTCATCTGTGATGAGAAGGTAGCCACCTTATTTGATATCTTGTTAGTTTCATCTCCTTTTCTGGTTCCTGCACATCATCCTAAGCCAGACCTTCATGGTTAAGGCACTTCCATAGCCTTGCTGTCATAGTCATCCTCTGCACCGCCACCTCAGTCATTCATCTTTGAATTTGCGTCCCTTCTGGGTCTCCTCAGAAGGGTGGTGATGTGGAGGCAGAAAGCATAGGCAAAACCCCTCTGGAGGACAGGTGGGAGATTGGCATTGAAAGCAGAACCCACTCTAGAGAATGGTGATGTGGAGAACAGTGTCAAAGGGGCAGGTGGCTGGTTTCAAAGACAGAAATCCTCTGGAAGGTGGGTAGGAGGCCAGCAGCATGAGCTTGGCACAGAACACAGGTTAAGCAGGTGGCTGGGGAACATGACCACAGACTGCTGACCAGGCAGGACGTTAGAGCAGGTATGAGGGGTGTTATCTGGGCTGGCCATCTCATGGGCAGGCTGTGAAGCTTGTGTGATGTTGGCTAGGACCGCCAACTCATGGACAAACTTGAGAACAGATTGGACTCAGGTCAGTGTACCGGACTAGTGAGATACTAAGTGCAGAGGAGGGTTGTGGCTTTGGTGTGTGGGAGGGCTGGGACATAAGACACTTTAGGGTGTGATGACAGGAACACCAGGGGACTACTGCTGCTTGGGAACTTAATGGGGCTGTGACTCTGGGATGCTGGGGAACAGAGAAGGTGGTCACCTACAAGGGCCGTGTCTCTTCTTTGGGGCAGACTAGGTCTGGAGCAGCGCAGGAATTAGCAGTAACATAAGCCATTAGGGCTTGGGTGTACTGGCAGGCTGGAAACTGGCAGACTCAGAAACAGGATCATTTGGAGAGGCCTGCAAACTTGGAGTACAGTGACGCTGTCCACCAAGGCCACAACCCCAAGAATTTGCATATACTGCAGGAATAATACCCTTTCAAAACAAGTACAAGTAGCAGTTTTTCTGTCAGGGTCCTTGGGGTTTAGAAAAATAGAACTTAAGCTTTCACATAGATGGTCTATTTCCCTTAATTCAACAAAAAAATGAAACCGTCTTCTGGGTTCATATTGACCAGATTGTAATGTCTTGGTTTTAGAGTCAGACCCAAATACAGCACAAAGCCAGAAGGATGCAGTAAAGGGAAACAGAACTTTATTACAGAACTAAGACAAACAGAATAAACCCTGAAAGGCAGTGAGGCACACAAACAAGAGTGTGGCAGGGAACTTAACTATAACTGGAGTAACCTCAGGCTAAACTTTGGAATGTGAAAACACAAAGCTCAGGCAAATTCTTATAATAGGAACATAGGAACAAAACTAAAATAAGGCTCTCTCAACAGCCAGCCTCTGAACAGTGCATAAAACAGAAAACAGGAGCGCTAAATACAAAAAATAAATTATATTAGCAGAAGAAGGTGAACTAAACCCGGGAAGCATGAAACATGATGTACAGTATGAATACTAGAACAGAATACTGACCAGAAAGCCATGAGGGAGAAGAGCTTGTTTAAAGGGAGGGACATGGAAATGTGAGTCATGAATGCTGCAAGATGCAGGAGCACTTCTCTGATGTCAATCTGGCTGTGGGAGAGAGCTGGCTGTTGACTTAAATACAGAGTCCTTGATTATGTTGATGAGAGATGCTGTAGATGAGAGTAATTATAGCAGGACAGGTAAAGCTGGTGCTCAGAACAAGGAACACCTGGGTATACTACTTGCCAGACATGGACTGCTTCACAAGTCTTTTATAAGCACCGTTGTTTCCCCTCACTTGTGTCTTTTCCTTGTGTCTTAGTTCCACCCACATAAGATGTGTGGGGGAAAAAATGTGAGGAGAGAGGGCTTCAGGAAACATGTTAACAATATTAGACGTCCTTTCCTCTGATCCTTCATCTGAAGCATCCAGTTACCAAGTGATTGCTGATAGAGAGCTGTGTCAGTTCATAAAAAAATAACTGATGTGCTGTAAGAGACTTGGAACATCCTTGATCGATCGGAATGACTTCCGGGTCGACTGTGTACCAAGGGCATAGGAAGGATCCTATAAAGACTTGGGAAGCAGACATGGTTTTAACAGATCTCTTCAATCCGTGGGCACAGGCCTTTTAGCTGCAGCAGTGGTGAAATGTGCGACCTATATGAGGGCAGCCTGTAGTTTTGTTGTTGTTGTAATAGTCTGCCAAAGGACCAGAGGGCTTGTGTTTCAGTTTAGTATATTGTTTGCAGGTTTTGTTCCTGCAATGGTTCACTAAGAACCATTTACAGTATGTTTTTATTTTAATTGAAAACCTCTGAAGTGTAATATACAGTATGATTAGATTTTCTAATTCAACTGCATTACTATAATAGGTAAATCCATAATAAATGTGGATTTAAAATATAAAAAGTGACACAGTATCACAAAAGAAATATTGTAGTATATTTTCTGCACTCATGGCCAGAGATGCCATGTTTGACACACGTGTATATAGTCCACACAGCAGTTGGCTGTGTTACTGTATGCCTCTAGTGCTGAACAAGCTTTTTCAAAACAATATGGTGGATTTTCACATCCGTTCTAAATCCAGGGAGCTATAGAAGGTGCTTTTATAGACCCGAGTATAGCATCAACAAAAAGGAGACAATCACATTTTTAAATTATCTTCTTGTTCTCTTCTTCTTCAAAGGCAATGCTAAGGACATAAAGGCATAAGAGAGACCTCATGCCTTTATGCCAAAAGCAGCACTTTCGGGGTTAAATGTGTAATGCGTGTTATCCATTAAATCTTAATCTAACAGTTAATCACTCACTATGTAACTTAAAGAGAAGTTCTAAGAAATCAAAAAAGATATTAGGTATAAGTACATATAGGCTATATGCATCAGGGACAGAATTATAGGCTATCATACAAGAAAATATTTTTTAAAAAGCCTGCTGGAGGATCATCTTGTTACAACATAACCAGAAGGTGTAATATTATGGAGAACAGCTGTGTGACATGTTTAATCCTTTTGGACAATATATAGCAACTGGATGACAATAGTGGAATATAGTTTTCAGTAGCTAGTAATACTATAGAGTATATTCATAGCACTTACACTTCAAATATTAGTTGAAGGAATGTTTCACTTTAATTTTCCTGCATGCAAACAAAACATACAGTAGCTGCTCACCACATACAGTTTGGGTTCTTTTCCAAGTCCACAAAAGTTAATGGTAAAAACAGCAGTTCCTACTAGGCATTTTGTTTTCATAAAGACATCTTGACAAGTGATGGTAGGAGAACCATTATGTAAATCATAAAATGAATGACAGCTGCATGACACCAGGGTCGTGGGGTTGTATGACAGGGCAAAACATCTACCGCGAAAAACAGCAAAAGATTAAAAAAAATGTACAAAGTCACAAGCATTACTATGTAAATAGCATAAAAATCTTTCTGTAATTTTTTCATGTTGGAAGCTAAATTAAATAGATGCAGTGTGTATATATGTATATAGTTGATTTTAAGGCATTTTAATGTGGTATCTAGCATCACAGACTGGCCCAAAACTGTGTTTCCAAATGATTGCCACCCCAAAACAATTAAGCCCCAACTGATGTTTTCATGTGGCAAAGGGATGATGTCATGGTCTGCCACACCACGGTAGCTTAAATTTTAAAAGACTAGATAGTTTAATAATAGTGTTATAACAAGAGAATTGCTACATAATTGTGACCGTGTGTGTGTGATAAATGGACAAGTATGATGACAGTAGAGAGAGACGATGATTTAATATGGGAAATCTTAAGGCAATCACAAAAAAGTAGCATTTAAATGTCTTTCAGTTTCATTCTAATTAATGAATTGATTTCATTTGATCTCTGTGTACAAACTCACAAACCTATGTGAGCCCAATCATTAACAAGGGCCACTTGCGCTACATAATGTGCTGCATAATCACTGTGATGCATTAAATATAACTACCTCCGCTGATGAGGATAATAATTAAGGTAATTAACAAAAAATACTTCCATGTCAATACAGGCTATTTGTCTTCCCATAACATGAGTGTTGGTCTGTAAAAAGGGATGAAGGTGTTTGGGAACATAATCGGTCGCTTCATCTACATGCAGATTTAATTAATAAACTCTGATTTAATCAGAATATCGAATCTATAGAGGGAACCTGTGATGTAAGAACAGAGCTTTTGTCTTGCATTGTTATTGTATTGGCACCGTGCTTCTCTTCCTTACTCTGTATTCACTGACATCGTCTTCCATCGTCACACCCGACGATGCCATCATGGCCTGACCACTCAGCTCAACAAGAGCCGTCAGCTCCGGCCAGTCACAGTGACTGTACTTCGGGAGGCCTGAGAGGTCAAGCAGCTGGTCACACCCAGATCCCAGAGAAGTTGCCTCATGCTCAGGAGAGGACTGATCACATTCAGTCTTCAGGCTCCAAAGAGGAGATGAGAGAGAGCTCAGCCTGGAGCTGTTTTCTCTTCATCAGTGCACGCTAGTCCAGGTAACGATGTTTCACCTCTAGAGAAGACAGGATAGTCAAGGCACCGATAGTTTAGTGGTAGCAAGCTTTTGATTTTTCTGAAGGAATACAAAAAATATGATAAATTGGATCTGAACAGAGAAATAAACACACCTCAGCAGCAGTCCATAGCTCACCCTCCCCCAGTGAATTGACACCTTGTGCTACTTCCTCCCATGCCTGTCCCTTCTGCTCATTAATGGCTATGTTCTATTTATATTCAGAGAAGAAGAACCAAAAATGAGACTTTGTATCCTAACGTGCCTAGCAAGGAAATTTCACAGCAATGTAGTGTTATGATAAATGCTGTAGAATAATGTGAGCAATGCAGGCTCCTCTCAAAATAGTGGAAATGTCAGTTTCCTATCAAACATAACAAAGCCACATTGGTTAAATAAAAACTATGCTCTGGTGTGGTAGCCTACAGATGCTGAATTTGGGAAGAAGACAAAAAATGAAAATGAACAGCTGATGGCATAGTTTTCATAAACATAAAGCAAACTTTTTGACAAGGATCTCTTAGTGCTTGTTTTTTTGTTTTTTTTTAGCTTGTGTATTATGCAGCACACCTTGCAGTTGAAAAATAAGCTGTGTCAGTGCTCTCTGGTGGACAATGGAGATATAGCGTCTAAATCATTTTTTACATATTTTGGCATTTTTGTTCTGCAGCTTTGTGTTGACTTGACTTAATCATACATAAATCTAAGTAAGTACACAAAGGAAAGCAAAAATGTGCTAACTGGGTGCAGTATGGACAGGTTTGAGTTATAGTTTTGCTCATGCTGCAGAGAACAGATCCCAGAAAAAAAAGTGTTTTGTCTAGATTTCTTTTGCAATGAATAAATAAGGAACAGATGTTGTGTATGCATCAGTGGCAGTAGAAAAATGATCAGCCTATACTGCTTATACAGTACAAACAGAATGTCCTGCAGTACACTAATGATCATATATCATAGCATGGTGATGCTTAAGTACATTGGTCCATGTTTTTAATCATCATTATGATTTAACAGCTCTCACAGTAGATACCCCAATCTATCAGTTTATGCAAGAAACTCTATACCTGCTGTCTGGAGAACAACACATCTCTCCTGTTGTGAATCTCTCTGATCAGAGTCTGGTTTTCTTTCACACTGTAGTTGATCTTTCTCCTCCCCTTCAGATGCTTCACCTGCATGAAATCCAGTTTGGCAGCAAAGAGGGGACAGAAACCCCAGAAAGACAATGTGACAACTTGGGGGGAAAATAAGCCAGAATGCATTTGGAAGCGACAGATCACAGGCCAGGCAGCAGAGAGCCTCGTCCTCAGAGGACGTTTGTTGTAAAGGTTAGTCATTTTGTAGCAGTGAAGCTATTCTTCAATAGCAGAACAGTTTTATAATCAGGAAGGAATTCCACTGTGGCCCCACTGGTCCCCATGACGTTTTCCACCGGGGAGGCTGATCCCATCTGTTACTGTACAGGCTGATCCTACAATGACATATGAGACTTGGAGTTATGGGGATATCAGGAAGAAAAGTGTGTGTAGTTAGAGGTCAGGTTCGGTGGGCTGGAGGAGTTAATCATCAAAAGCTTTCTTTTTTTCCCCAGTTTGAGTAGAGGGCTCACTTGTTTGCGATTTGATATAGCTAAGGTATTACACATTTGTAAGGTATTATGCCAAAATTATGTCATTTTTATACATAATGACAGTTTGAGTGATTAGTCCCTCATTTAAAAAGCATAGTGATTTTACGCATGCTGACAGTTGTCGGCAAAAATAAATGGAAGGATAAATAAAATACAACGGGCATATAACATCTTTATGCAGCCCTTAACATGTTATCTTTTTCAGCTTATAGCCTACAACCAAACAATTCACTCGGCAATATTTAACACACATTTATAAAGTAAAAGAATATTCAGTAGAAATAGAATGGTTTATTGTATGTATATTTTGCATGCATGTTTCTTCTGCTCGCCAACATGTTGACAAGATTCCTATAAGCAATCTGTATTCTACTTTAAGGTGATGCCCTCCTGTCTTCATTCTGGGGAATATTAGGCTGTGACGAGCACAACACATTTTCATCATCGCAGTCAGAAATGTAATGTACTCCTTTGTGTTGCCTATTGTACCACCAGCTTTAATAAAATGTGATTTGTAATATATAATGAATACAACTCACAATTTATGCTACCACAAAGAAAATAACGCTATAGAAATACAATTGTGTTGTTGCATTCAGGGGCGCCTCGGAAATCTATCCCAAATCGTTCCCTTGTAAAACAAGTCAAGTCAAGACAAGTCAAGAATCTTTATTGTCATTATGCATGGCACAACGAATTTTTTTCCGGTAGGTGTCGGCTTAAAAGACAGACATATGATTTACTAAACACACAATTGTATAAGTCAATA